CAGTAGTTACCTTTGTCAACTGGAAAGGAACACAAAGTTTGGCCCCATGGAATAAACCCTGGGTGTACATGAGGAGTAAGTGCAGGTTCTGCTACTTACACCTGTGGGACCCTGGACCTGTTCTCAACCTCATTGAACTTCAGTTATCTCCATTAAAAAAATAAAGTAAGCATAATCCCATAAAAAATCTTTGTGAACCAAAAGCTTCTTGTAAACAAACAAACAAAGAAAGTTTAATAACATGTATACCTCTTACATACTTGGGAGACCCAGTAAAACTGAGTAATTCCCCCAAATGGCCCAAGCCACCACCTTAAATATCATGTCCACCTAGAGACAAAAGAAGATGTGGGGTGAGGGGGAGGCCAGGTCTGGGAGGTTGCCAGGAACCGCACAGTAACCAAGGGTAAGCTTGTTATGCAGATTTAAGTCTTTGCCTTCTCCCTTGATTAGAGTTTCTGAAGTTTTAGTTATCCTTTAAAAATTACATATATATATGTGTGTGTATATATATACATATACACACACATTTTGTGTTTTTGTGTGTACATATATGTGTGTATATATATATTGTATATATATGTATATGTTTTTTGTGTGTTATATATTATTTTTTTTTTTTACAACTATATGTATATATAGTTGTTCAATTACAGTTGTCCCAAACAATGTGGGAAAAATTGGAATCAAAAGTTTCTCTGCCAAAATAAAAAAATAGCCAAGATGTTGTTGTTACAGTATTGGTTGCTTAGTGGGTTAAGAAAACTGAAGTTAACATTGACACACTGTTGCTTTTCTTTCTGGCCTTTTATCTCTTATCTTTTTTGGGGAAAATTTTAGAAGAAAAAAGTTTGCTCCCATTTTGGAGAAACGTGCATTTAAAGCACACCCAAGATATACATGCTATTTCTAGGAGGCAGCTTTACCTCTCATTTTGCATGGTACTTGAACAATTTACCCTGTCCTTTCACAGATATTATGTTGATATTTACTTCATGCTCAGAAAGTGCTGCTTATGATATCACCACTCTCCTGTGTGTGGCTGGACAGCCATGACTGATGGACTTCCATAAACACTTTTCCACGGAGGTTACACCTCCAGGCTGCCTGTTGGTCATGCTGTGGTACACCTAAAATCTTTGAATGAGCATCTGCAGAACTTTCTCCAGATGTTTACTGATATGTTCTTTGACCTTTCAGGTTCTACAACTTATGCTTAGGATTATAAATACAGATTTGGGACATAGACTGATTTCAACACTCAGTTCTGCAAAGTTGTGTGACCCTAGGCAAGACACTCTGCTTCTTGCTACCTTGGGGTGGTCATTTAATCTACTGCCTATTGCTATTATGGGGATGAAATGAGATCCTGCTGTAAAATTGAGCTCTTCACTCAATGCCTGCCATTGAAGTAGGAATTCAGTCACTGTTCACTCCCTTCTTCCTTTCTCTTTCTCTTTTCCTTTCTTAGCTGACTGAGTATTTCCCCGATCGTCCTCATGCTATTGCTTCCAGAAATGATTGTTCTCTGAGAAGCATTTTTGTTCTCATTTTGCCTGTGGAGGTCTTCTATATTTGCCCAGTGGGAGGATTTAGGCTGCAACCAAGATAAGAAAGTGCAGTGAGAGAGCTGTCGACTAAGACTCAGGAGAACCCTGCCCTACCCACCCGTGGCTCTGTGGGAAGTTACATGGTCTTGGGCAAGTTACTTCTGTGTTCCCTCCCTTCTAAAATAGGGATGCTAATAATATTAATCCTATTACTTCAGAGGCAGTTTGTTACTTCAGATAACCAAATTATTTGAAAACACTTTGAAAAGTTTGCAATAAAACTAAAATGGAACATATAATTGTGATCATAGCTTCATTAAACCTAGAAACATGTTCTAGATAATTATAGGGGTACTACCCTGCAAATTCCATGACAAGGTAAGAGGGTAGCTCTATGGCCTGCTTTCCTGTCCAACAATCTGGAGATTTTTCTGCTTCAGTATCACAGAAGCCTCCAAAGTCCCTACCATGGTAACTTTTTTTTTTTTTAACATTTTTTTTTTTTAGATTTTATTTATTTATCTTTAGAGGGGAAGGGAAGGAGAGAGGGAGAGAAACATCAATGTATGGTTGCCTTTCGTGCGTCCCCTGCTGGGAACTGGCCTGCAGGGAACCTGCCTGCAACCCTGGCATGTGCCCTGACTGGGAATCGAACCGCGATTGTCTGGTTCGCAGGCCCGCGCTCAATCCACTGAGCTACACCAGCCAGGGCCATGGTAACTTTTGATGGGAGTGATGAGGAAATAATCCAAGATGCTTCAGGATTCCTATGGAAGGGGCATGCATGACTGGAGTTTACTCTCAGTCTAGGTTTGTTACTGCTGTGGTAGATTGGAAAAAAATTATGTATTTTTCCATGTATAATGTGCATTTTTTTGCCCAATTATTTTAGGGAAAAGCAAGGATGCACATTATACACAGATAGTACTAACTCTGTATCTATCTATAAGTTTTTAATTGTTTTATTTATGCTTGTATGTTCAAAGTGTAACTACAAAGCAAGATCTTTTTTTCTGCAAGTTAGGGCTAAAAATGGTGCACGTTATACACAGCAAAATATGGGCTATGTGTTTTTTTATCTTCAAAGTAGTTTGCAAATAAAGGAAGCTCTGTCAAGGAAGTTTGATTTCTACCCACAGTAGTAGTGCATTTTCTCTGAAAGAAAGTACTAGAACCAAAAGTAAAAACAAAGAATTCACATGTCAGATTCTGATATGCAGACCTCAGGCCCACCTCACATAGGGGAAACATCAAGACTCTCCCCAGTTAATGCCAATAACAGATCTTTGACCTGTGCTTGAAATATATGAGGTTTGGCATCAGTAGCAGATAATAAGGAAAACAAACAGCAGACCCTTGTTCAGATAGGATGTAACAATTTTCCATTCAAGATGAATCACTGACAAATCTCTACAGAAGAGAAATTGGGCCAGGTATTGTCTGAACCTGAGCCCATCACCATTCAATAAAGATTGAACTTTGGTTTATTTTTCATTTTGAAGTGTGTGTATTTGTGTGTTGTTTTTCCCTTCCACCCACTCATTCCCTTGTCTGTGAATTCCTTTTTACCAGAAGGCTTTTTGGCAGAACAAAGGTGTCAAAAGGAATTCAGGAGGCAGACACAATGCTAGCTGAACACATAATGGGAGATAGCAGCATGACTCAGGAAAAGAGATTTTAGTTATTAAATACCAGAAACTTTCTTTGATTGAAAAAAACAAGGATGTAATAAAGTAAAAGAAAAAAAACAAGGATGTAATAAAGTAAAAGAATTAAAACAGGACTGCAAGGTAAATAAAGTATAAGATTCCTTCAGTTTCTTCAAGAGACACTTTTAACTGTCACTTGGAAGTTGAGTTCATTAAAAATGTTTATGCCCACAAGTGATTTCTGAGCCAAAGGACATGGAATAAGAGTACAGATGGTATCTTTGTCTCTTAAGGCCTCATGATGCCATTTCACATATATATATATATTTTCTTTTACTCATTCAACAGATATTAAATACATGTTGTGTGCCAGGTACCCCTAAAGAAGAGACTGTGCTAGAGACTGCGGTAGGAAAAATAGGTTCACATTTTCATTGGATTCAGTTCTTTTGAGGTAGGGTTACATTTCCAGGGTGTAGTAGACCACTCTGCCTAGTTTTAGAAATTGTATCTACCCTTTGTGGCTAAGGGCGAGAAACGACCTTTGGAATGTCAGCTGCAGGAGACAAAGTCTGTCTCTGGTAGCAAACACTGCCTCAGTTTCCTCTCCCTGCCCCCAAAGCTTGGTGGAAAGTCAATGATGGGTAAGACCTTTCACAGCGGGGCAACCTAAGCCAGACTCAATCACTTGGGAGGCCTTCATGGAAGGACTTGGGGGCTGCAACAAAGAGCAATGGACTCTCGCCCCCAGGCTTTGACAAAGCCCAAGTCCCCATGTCCTCTGGGAGAAGTGCTTCTCCTGGCTCCAATCCCCTTAAGCCTGAATACCTGTTGGGGAGGGGTGAAGCTCCTTGCCTTGCTAGAGCGTGTCCTGGGGGAAAATCTGGCATCACAAAGACTTGCTGATAAACCTGTGAAATCTGCTAAGAGTGCTTTCATTCATGTGATAAGGGTCCGAGAGAAAATGAACATGTCTCCCAAAGTTTCTACAACTCTCTTCTGACAGAAACTGACTCAGACTTTGAAGCCCTCAGATTTCTTTGAAGTGTTATCTATTGTTTGATCCTTGCTGCCCTGAATTCCTGTGCATTACATCCCAATTAAAGGCTATGGAAGAGGGCGCTCGGGGCCTTTTTCTTCTCAGAGCAACTGGCTGCTGCTGGCCTTTGTCTCCCCTGAGAAACTGGCCACAGCCCACTCCTCCTCCCCAAGCAGATCTCAGCATGTCTTGGCCATATTTATTCTTTCACACATGTCTGTGGCATCAGGGGGACTCGAGGAGAAGTCACCCTCACACCAGGGAGTTCTACTCCATCAGTCTTTAATGACCCTGATTTTTTGCTATCTGCAGAAAAAAAATCAGGGATTAGACAGAAGAGATTGGCAGGAGCTGTTTGCTCTTGGACTAATGGAGGGAGCCTTCAAAATGTGACTCGAGGTGAATTTGAGGTGGGGGAAAAGGGGAAGGGAGATGCATTCATAGCACAATCTCATCACAGATATGTTAAGAGGGAGAATGCAAATCTCTTATACAGCCCTGGTTAAGCTTTTTGGCAGGGTTATTTAATCCTCACGGTGCTATCTTTTTTGTTTGTTTGTCTAGTTTTTATTTGTTTTTCTTTATCTTTGAAAAAACCAATAGTCAAGATTAGGACATTTGCAATGTGCTTTTTTTCTCTACCCGCAAAGCTAAGAACCACCTTTCACTTTAGCCAGTAGCAGAGATTGGGCTATACAATTGTAGCCCAATTAAATGTTGTATGGACTTTGGTACAAGACAACTTCTAAGGGCGGGGAGCTGTGATATTACAGAAGTACAGGGCTGTGGAGGAAGGAACATGGTGGACATGGGAATATTCAGAGAAGCAAGGTTTGTATTCAAGAGATTAACTTTGGGGGGGAAATAAGACATAGAATTAGGAAAGGAGGCAGCATTCATGCGAGGCACTCTACAGGCCCCGGAGTGCCTGATCAAGCCTGATGATACTGGTAGTGAGGTCCTCTGTGCAGGGTACAAAGGTACAGGTTAGCTAGCCATAAAGAATAATTTGTAAAAAGATAAAATAATGAGTTTTCTGTAAATATAAAATGAATATGCACTAATGACTGTAACTAGTTCATAAATGAGGAAAATGATAATGTTCCATAGAGAATTTGTAGAAAATAACATTTTATATATATTTGCTAGAGATTATAATGAAGATGTATATGTAAAATGGAGAAGCCAAAGGACTTATATGTATGACCCATGGACATGAACTAGTGATGGGGAGAAATGAAGGTGGGAGGGGGTGTGGGGGGCAGAGGGGAATAAGGGGGGGGAATGGGACAACTGTAATAGCATAATCAACAAAATATATTGTAAAAAAAGAGAAAAATGAATTTTTTGAAAGAAGCAAAACTGTCTAATATCTTAGTGGTCAATAATTTGTAATGCTTCTGTTATTGTTTCAACCAGGAGGAGTTCAATTTTACCTCTACTGGATAAAATTTATTTGCCTAGTTATGCAAGGAATCATTTGCATTGCCATAAAGAGTAACCACAGGCAATTTACTTGTATGATATAATCACTAGACCTACATAACATACTATAAACTAGTCAAAAAAAAAGTAATCAAAATTGAACTTTCCTAGAGAATTTTTGGAGGGTCCACTGGACAATAGCCAGCTTGCTATTGAAAGGCAATTTAGTGCTATTTCTTGCCCATTTCCAAGCTCGCACTTATTACAATCTTAGACTAAGGGACAACTGTGTTTTCAGTCCCCTGTGTCTGCATAGTTTTTGCATTGATTTAAAAAAATTGCTTATATCTGGATGAAAATTTAGAATATGTGGGTTTTTTTTAAAGTAATATTGAGCTATCCAGAATGAGGAAGGAAATGACCCCTATTCTCTAGTCACTAGCAAGCATCTGAAAAAAATTATTTAACTTTCCCTCTCTCTAGAGAGTAATTATCAACACATCCTATGGGGCAAAATAAAATATCCCTTTGTACAGTATTGTGATGCAAGTAACAGGTTTTTCTATAGGATGTGATAGAGTATTAACTGAAAGCACCACCCCCTGTCTGAAGACTCTGACTTATCTATTCAGTATGTTCTTTATAGTTAACTATCCTTAGCACTTTAAAAAATAAGACATTTGGGTCTTATAGATTTATAATTCTCTGTGAATTTTCTATCTTCCCACCTGAAAACACAATGTGTCTATAGTTTGGGGTATGGTATAGCATGAAGCAGTTCCCCGACTAGACGTCAGCCTGGGGCAGTGTTTATAGAGGCACAAGGGAGTACACCATGAGAGATAGCTAGGCCAGACTTAGAGAAAGGTGATTCAGTATAGCAGCTAACCACAGACAGTGCCTTACGCAGTCCAAAATTTTATGAAAAAAATAGGTAGATCTATGATAAAATTTAGAAAATAATCGGTATTAAGAGGTATTGTTCAACAAGCAGCAACTATTCAAGAAGGTTCCATTCATAAATCAGCCAATAGTGGCCGGAAATCTGCAGATCTAGGGAACAGAACCCAGCTTACTTATTTTAGAGAAAGCACTAAGCACAGTCACCAAGGCTAAAGCCACGGAAGACTGACACGGTATAAGTCTAGACTTTGGGCAGAGCAGCTTTTTGGAAAACATGGTTTCTAATTGGCACAATATATCAATGCATCATTGATTTAAGACCAGTTTGGTGAGATGCATACAGAGGATTAAAAAGGAATTTCTTAATATAGCTGGGGATGTATCCCAAAATTACTCTTGGTATTAAGAGTGCGGCCGAAACTTCAGTTAAAAAAATTTTTAGAAACTGGAGTAGGCAGAATGCTGGTATGAAAGTAGGAATAGACTCACAATTAGGAAATTCTGAAGGTGATGGCACAGACACAAATCTGGAACTAGATAACTATCTCATTATTTTATTTCATTTTCACCTTCAGGAAAATCTGAGTATGTCTTGTTGCCCATCCTATCTAATAATATTCTGGGCTGTATTTAACAGGCTGTCAGTGTAGACAGATTAGTACATGTGAGCTACATTCAGTCTACAATGTCTGTAATTATTTTTGAGTATCAACTTTTAATAAGTGATCATTTGTTATTTTTTTCTGTAGAACCCTGCCCCTTACAGTCTTAACTAAATTGACATATCCTTCACATATTGTCATCACTTGTTCTCCAGTGGTTCAATCTTCCAAGCTTTACATTTTATATATCTTTTCTATCTATTGTTATGACTATTTATTTCATGGTTTTGTTACAGGGGTGTCCAAATGTCTGGTGTTTCTGTGCTACCCTGGAAAAAGCAGTTTTCTTGGGCCATATGTGAAATAACAAAAACAAAAAAAATCTCATAATGTTTTGAGTAAATTTATGATTTTGTGTCAGGCCACATTCATAGCCATCCTTGGCCACATGCAGCCCACGGAGAGTTGGACACCCCTGGTTCGGAAGTTAAAAATCTCACATCTGGACTTGGACTGATTTAAATTTCATTTGAATGTCTTTAAGTTACTGTTTCTACTCTTTAGTCCCTTGCCTCCCAAACTTCTTTGTTATCTTCTCCTCCTGACCATTGTGTGCTCGATGTAGCTCATACCATTTTGACAAATCTACCAGAGCTCATTATTAAATACTCAAGAATTTTGTGAGTGAGTTGTTAGATTTGCCATAGTGTTGATATTATACCAGGTGAAAAAATAGTCCTTGAAGCTAAAATGTCCATATTCTAGATAATGAAAATGAGGTGCAGAAAGGTTCCTTAATTTTCCCAAGACCAAAATGCTAATTTGTGGTGGTATCACTGGAATAGTTTCTTTCTTCTCTGTTCTAACCTCTGCCATGGGCATTTGGTGAGTCTTAGTATAAAGACAATGTTGGAATGGAATTGATTCAGTTCCTCTTGTCTCATCTATTCCAGTGTAAAGTTTGTAGCTAAAAATAAAAGGTGAAATGGCACAATGATTAGAATTTTAGTAAAAGATGAAAGATGTAACTACAGGAGGATTTAGTAGCATCTGTAGCTGAAGTAGGGACTCCTTCTTTATAAAGATTGCTTCCTCCCAGGAATTACAATTGCACTTTATGTAGTTGGTACAAGCTCAGTTATAGTTATGAAACTTGATGACCTAATGTCTCCCAGTAAATAAAAAAAAACAGTCATTTACCTCCCAATAAATAAAGCTAATATTTCATTTCTATAAATTTTTATATTAAAATGGTTGTAGATATAGTGGTTATTCTAAATGCCAAGAAATGTATGTCATAAAATAAAGACAAAAATATACAGTACAAACTATGGATGTCTTTCTACTGTTAATTTATATCTATCACTGATGAATTGAACCAGTTTATTCTATACCACTACCAAATGTCAACAACATTTACCCCAAAGTTAAAATGTACCCCACTCTTACTTTAGAGGCATATGTTTCCTTTAAGAACTAATTAGGTCTTGTTCTTTTCAGGGAAAGTTGTCACTATTTTTCCTAGAGAGCCAGCTCTTGGCAGCATCTCTCCTTAAAAAATATATAATTTCAACAGAAAGCTCTGTTATCTAACTTGACTATAACTCATGCTGACCAGAGCTAATGAAGATAAAAGCTAACACACCAGGTTTCTTTTCTTTGTTCACTACATACCCTTTAAAGACTCTTTCTATTAGAACCATCTATGTAGCTTATTTTGTCAGCCAACTTCTGGATCATTGAACCACTGGCACTTAGATTAAAAGCAAAACCTCATTTATTGATCAGGTTGAAATATTGAAAGATCTTCCCCAGCCCATCATTCCCCTCACTGAACTTTTAATCAAAGGTCATTGATTATGATTTGAACTTTCCTCTCATCCCACTGCTACAATCTTAGTTAAAATCTTTATCATAGTGACTGTATCAGTAATAACAGCAGCCTCTTTGTTCTCTTTATATAATTGGGTATAGAGTGGGAGTCCCCCAAAATAGAGCACATTCCCCACAAACCTTAATTGGGGAATGGACAAGTAGATGATACATTAAGATACTTTTATAACAACGGCAAGTTAATAGCTATGCTGCCACCCTGAGCAAGTGTGTATGTGACTTGAAGAGTGTAGTGACTTGTGATATAGTCAGGGAAGGCAGATGCCTCTATGTCATAGGGAACTCTTGCCCTGACTAAAGATGGCAGCCAGCAGAAAGTAAAAGACATGAGGGAACTGACAAAAGTAGCACATCATAGGAGGGGCTGGATATGAGGTCACATAGGAAGTTCCTGGCTGAGCATTTAAAACAAGGGTGGGATGAAAGGGAGAGAATTCCACCATGAGGCTGGAAAGAGATGAGGAAGAAGCTATATGTGAGGAAAGGGTGTAAGGAGAGAGCTGATGGAGCTGTGCAAGGACTTGGAAGAACTGTGGGGCTGTGTTGGGACCTGCCTAACCAAGCACAGATTCATGGGAGATGCTTGAACCTCAACTGAGTTGTGACTGGGAATGCTGAGCTTTGGATTTCTGCTTCTCTGAAGGACCAATGTATAGAGAAGTTGTTCTCTTGGGACATGTGCCTCCCTGGACTCCACTGTTATTCAGTGTAATATGACACGTGTTTCCTAGAACTACTACATGGAGGCTGAGAACAACGTAGCCCAGGTCCTGAAGGAGAGAGCTGCTGAGAGGATGGTGACTCTAAAACCCACAAGAGCACCTTCCAAAGAGGATAGAGACCCGTTTGTGCAGCCAGCTTAACAACAAATAAGGATACGGGGGAACTTCTGGGCATGATTGTGGCCTATAGCCTGGTGGGGGTAAGGGAAGTGCTGGGTCTTGAGGGAGAACAGGGTTCTAAGCAGGAGTGCTCTTAGCAGCCCCCACCAAGGTTAGAATCCTGTAA